CGTCTTCGGCACGTTGGCGAGGGGCGGGCAGCGTGCGAGCCTTGGAGGAAGGCTCAGCACCACTTCACTGCCCTGGGAAGGACCTAAAATGAGCGTTTTTAAAACCAGAACCACCCCAGTGGATCGGTGTGAAGTAGGGAGAACATCTTATGCTGATTTTTTGGGGAAGGAGCTGTACTTTGTGAGCCTTGGCTGAGTCCTTGGAGGAGGGCTGGTGAAACCAGGCGGTGCCCCAAGAGGGACCACACCTGGTAGTGCTGCTGTCCTCTCCCGAAAACCCCATCCCTGAGCCACAGCTACACCAACCTGCCTCTTTCTGAGCCATCCTGCCCTGCATGGTGGCAGGGCTGCCTAAAACAAAGTTTGTCTTCAGTTCACCTGTAGCTATAGTTTCAGCATCAGAGGTAGCATCAGCACCTCTGCTGGTGGCCCTGTTGGACATCCCTTTTGGGAGCAAAGTCCAGCCATCCTAAGATGGTTCTGAAGGTGTGTCCAGGCAGCAGAAACTCACCCAGCACCTGGTGACCAGAGGCACCCAAAGTGAAGAAACTTGAGCAGAGGAGATATTGGGGAGGTGTCAGTTTAGGGCACGGTTCTGGCTGTGCCATGGGCTTGTGCCCCCCCAGCAGCTGGAGGGGTGCTGCCAGTGAGGGACCGCTGCCCAGGAACCAGACCGTGAGCACCACAGCCTTAGTTCCACTCGCTTTCCGTGCAGCACCATTTTTCCCCACTTGCTTCACACCGTTGTCCTGCAAAGCCCTGAGCTAATCAGAGCAAAAAGCTGGCGTATGAGCGTGTCTACATGGGGAAACTGAGGCAAGGCAGTGGCTGGGGTTAAAGCAGGAGATCTGGGTTAGCCCAGGTCTATCTGGCAGGAGCAGGGTGAGGGCAGCAGCAGCGCGTGCCCAGCTGTGTGCCGACAGCTGGATGTCCATGCAGGCACCTGGCTGATGTCCCATGGTCAACCGTGCATTGCTGGTGCACTGGGACAGCGCGAGGTGTGTGCAGGCGCGGGGGGGACGTTGCTCTGCACCACTAACCAGGCACGCTCTGACCTGCCGCACCGCTGGTAGCTGGAAAAATTAACGGATAAATAAATAACTGAGGCTTGGCACGTGGAGCCTGCGCAGCCCTCGTGGTGGGGACGGGCCAGGGGTCTCCAGCAACACCACAGACGTTCCTCCCCAGCACAGCACTGTAGTAGCCCTTTGCTTCCAAGCCACGACAGTTGTCCTCGTCATGCCCAGTTAACCAGCCGTTCAGTGAGAAGCTGAAAAACCCATCGCAAACAAGTTGTCTAAAAGAGGTGGTGCTTTTCTTGTTTCCTTTTTTGGCTTTTCTTGGTAGACACAGCACCGTGGAGGATTGTTTCTCTGCAGTGTCCAGAGCTGCACATCGATGGGGCTGAGCCACACGTTGTGCCTTCCCCACCAGACCTGTATGGCCACAGGTTGTGCCACGTGTTCGAATGGCCATGAGCCAGTGGGTGCCCAGTGACCTCACTCTTCGTTTTATTTGAATTTTTTTTTTTTTCATTTTAACATAAGCATCTCACATTGGCTACAGCTGAGCACAGCCCTCCCTGTGCAAGGCGGTGTGGGTTTGCCCTCCAGCCAGCATCCCTTCAGGGGCTGTCTGGGGAGCCCAGGAGGTTCCACAGGACCCCCATGGCAGTCCCTGGGTCAGATTGGGGTCAGGCCATGGGGAACCTCAGCCACGTGGAGCTTGGGCCGTGAGAATCAGGTAATTTACCCCCTTCTCTTTCCTTCACACCCAGGTCGCACTGCGCAGGCGGTCGCGGTCCGAGCCAAGGCATTCGGCTTCAACGTGATATTTTATGACCCGTACCTCCAGGACGGGATAGAGCGGTCCCTGGGAGTCCAGCGGGTCTACACGCTCCAGGATCTGCTCTATCAGAGCGACTGTGTCTCCTTGCACTGTAACCTTAACGAACATAACCACCACCTTATCAACGACTTCACGATTAAGCAGGTAATTTGCCTCGCGTGCACGGCCCAGGAGAGCGCTCTGCTCTTCAGCGGGTGAGCCCCAAGGGTTGGGGCTGCGTTGGCTCCCTCTGTGGTCACGGCCACAGCAAGCCAGTGCCTTGGTGCCCACAGGCTACCTCCAGAATAGCTGGTCGCACCCAACAGCCCATCCATCTCCCCACGGTGTTTACCAAGGGGTAGCAAGCTACCAGGTAAGTGAGCCCTCTGCTCCCGCGGTGCGGAGGCGATGGCAGGAGCAGGTTTTGTTTGCCAATACCAGCCAGAGCTGAACTTTCCATATAAAACCCATGTGCACCAGGATGGGGATTGCTCTGGGGCAGGAGCACAGCTGCTCAGCACAAAAAGCGGGGTGCAGTCCCAGCTGGAGGCACCCCGGGGTGCCCACGGCTGCGTCAGGGCAGGGGTAGGACTGGGTCACTGTGCTGAGCTCACTCTCATCTCTCTTTCTCCCTGGTTGCCACCAGATGAGGCAGGGAGCGTTCCTGGTGAACACGGCACGTGGGGGGCTGGTGGACGAGAAGGCCTTAACTCAAGCCCTGAAGGAGGGACGGATACGAGGGGCTGCGCTGGACGTGCACGAGTCTGAACCGTTTAGGTAAAGCTCTGGCTTTTTCTTGGGTTGCCATCCATAGCGGCGCGTCCACGGGCTACACAGCACCCACACGCCTTGTCACGCAGTGGCGGCGGTGGGGACAGTCCTGCTGGTCTGAGAAAAGGCCACGGCACCTGGCAGCATCCATCGGGCGTGGGCTGGCACTGAGGGTACAGGTGTTCAAAGGGACACTGGCAGCTTGCAGCAAGAAATCAGCCTGGGTGGTTTTTTTTAAAAAAAAGCTCTTGCTAGTGCAAGAGAACAAATTTACTGTGTGAGTGTTGGATGTTTTTGCCCACAGGCTGCTGCTAGCTAGGAAGGGGGCTTGGTTGTAAGTGAGAGTGTAGCTACACTCCTCGCAGAATGGGGATGGAGGTAGTACCACTGATTTACTTGTGTTTTCAGAAGCAACTGAAAAATTCAAAAGCATGTGCTCCTACAGAGGGGAAACCCCCATGGCCACCCCCTCCCACCCTGTGCTGGGTGACCCACAGCCTCTCCCCACATCCCCACGCTGCTGCAGAGACCCCCGAACATTTATTCCCATGGGAGCGTTAAGACCAACCACCCAATAAGTTGGGTTTTCAGCCCTGTTGTTAATTCTTCGGTGCCTTTTCAGTTTGTAGCCTGCATTGGAGCTGTGCTTCCTCCCCAGCACTTCTGTGCCCGTTTCAAGCTGGCAGGACCCTGTCAGGCTCCCTCCAGCCCAAGTGCCACAGATGAGGGGCTGGGGAAGGAGGCTTGCATATGCATGGGGCAGGCCACAAGCCTTTTGCTGATCATAACATCTTTCATTCTCCCTTTAAACATTGATTAATCTTTCTTTCTTTTCCTGCTGCTCCCAGTTTTGCTCAAGGCCCCTTGAAAGATGCTCCTAATTTAATCTGTACTCCACACACTGCTTGGTACAGCGAGCAGGCGTCACTAGAGATGAGAGAAGCTGCTGCTACTGAAATACGGCGTGCGATCACAGGTACCCAGCCCATGGAGAAGCTGGAGTTAGCTCCCATGTGCGCCTGGAATGTGAGCCAGGAGGGAATGTGAGCCAGGAGGCGCAGAGATGGGGCTTCACCTTGCCCCTGTGTCAGCAGGAGACTGGAAAAGGGGTCCAAGCCTGATTTTCTTCCCAGCAAAAGAGCTGAGAAACCCAACTTTACTTTTCTGTCATTTGGGCATGTTTGTGGTTGGGTGGGGGGTTTTGTTTGTTTTTTAAATCAATGGGGCAATTGTGCAGCATGGCAAAGACTTATCTGTGACTGGGAAGGAAAGGACAGCAAAGCAATAACTGCTGCCCCTTTTGCTAACCCGAAAAGAGGGTGCAGACCATAGCCAACCACATGCCAAAATCAAATCCCAAAGCAGTGAAGGCACCTGTGTCCAACTCTTTACTGTAACTGAGCTTTCTCCAAGACAGTCAGCATGATACTCCAGCAAATCAGTGGTTCTCTTGTCCTAAAAATTGGCCCCCTTGTTAACATGGAAGGTGTAGCTTCTGAAAGCAGTGGGCTCAAGGGAACAACTTCCCTGAAAGCAGAGTTGGGACTTAGGGCAGCAAACTGGTCTCCAACCCTGCACCCCAGGACAGCCAAAAACGTCCTCCTGAAACAAGGGATACAGGATTCCCACATCTATTCCCCACCCCGGCCTTTATACTAAAAATATAGTGAAATGGAAAAATTGTAGCTTATTATTAGATGGTGATAAAGCTAGGACTTGCCTGACATACTTACCTTTATTGCCAACTCCAGGGCGCATCCCAGAAAGCCTAAGAAACTGTGTGAACAAGGAATTCTTTGTCACAACAGCTCCGTGGTCAGTAATAGATCAGCAAGCAATTCATCCGGAGCTCAATGGTGCCACGTACAGGTAAGCCGGAGAAGAGGCCTGTCGCGACAGCGGGTTCCCCTGCAGAGGTGGCAGGAATTTGGGATTCCGGCTACAAAGCGCCATGAAAGCCCAAACAACAACTTCTGTATTGGCTCAGGCGGCGACTGCGAGGTCCCCCTCCCTGGGGACCAGTGGTCACATCGCTGGGATTACTAATGCTGGTTGATTTAACCATGGGATTGTAAAGCCTCCCATCTAGAAAGCCTTCATGGCACGGCTTCTCCGGAAACGGCAGGACCCCCAGCCCCATAACCGAGCAGAACATCACTTCTCAGCTGAAGAAGCAATTGCAGATTTGCTCTGCACGTCTGTCCATGAGCCTGGCCCAGCTTGTGGGTTAATGAGCCAGGGTGAAAACTCCAAATATAGGTCCAGAGTCAAGTGGCCTAATTTCCACCTAAATCCCTGAGATTAGGGTTATTTATTGCCCCACTTCAGACAGCTCAAAGCACACTGATAGGGAGACATTAAGCATGAGGACTCAGATGGAGCATGGGCAGCCTTCAGCATATCCCTGTTGCCAAAAATACTCTGAGATACAAAAAAAAACCCCACAGGGCACTTCAGGTCACGTTACAGGGCAGAAGCAGGCAGGAGTGCATCCAGCAGCAGAGCCCTTGAGAGGGCACGGCCCCGAGCCAGGCACGTGCCACGGCCCTGCACGCTCACAACTGCCTGCAGGTCACAGGCAGTGATTGCTCGCTTGGACCAGCAGCATATGCAGACTGGAATATCCAAACCGGGTGAAAGCCTCCCCCTTGGTCCTGCTCCTGCCTGCTCCGGGGCACGTGGGCAATGCCATTAGCCTGGGGACAAGCCTTGGCTTCTCAGCTTAACCTCTGCCTCTGCAAGGTGCTTCATCCTTGCTAAGCTCCTCAGGAGCTGCGGCCCCGGTGCCCCCACAAGCTGGCAACTGGGGTCAGCTCAGCACCTTCACGGGCAGGTGAAAACTCCATTCCCCTCCCGGCTTCCCCCTCTGCCTTTCCCTAAGGAGATGGCAGCAGCGGAAAAGTGCTTGTGTGTTGGTCCAACAGACCTCAAGGGTTTTGGCCTTGTTGCCCCACATCACATCTTCACTGTGGACAGCTCAAGAAATTATAATTTCTTCTCCTTTCTCAAACTCAGTGTCATTTCTTGGAATATGTATAAGTCACCCTGCTTCTTGAAAGGGAGACGGACTAAATCCAGCCCAAATTTCAGCTGTCCTCTCTGGTTACATGAGGAAGATGCAGCTCACCTTCCACAGAGGGACCACGTACAGAGCAGGTGCAGGTGTGCAGAGGCGTTCACACACAGAGAGGATTTAAATCAGCATGCTACCGTTCAGGGCTTCAGAGAGCATTCAAGATGATTCTTGACCCAGTTTTTCAAGAGAAAGGCTTTCTTACGTTCAACCAGCAGTTGGAAGGTACAGAACAAGATGTGGTCCCAGTATCCAGCCTGTACCCCCCACCATGGTTGTGCAGGACTGTTTATAGCTGATACAGAATTACCCAAAGGCCAGTCCAGAGCTCTGGAGGAAGAGCTGCAGGAAAGAAAGTCCAACAGTAAAAAAGAACAGGGAAAGAAGCAGAAGAGCAGATGGAAATCAGCGTCAGGAAGGCAGAGCAGTGTCACAGGCGCGGGGACAACAGCCACCACCCCTCTGTGCTCATCGGGCGCTGCACTGGGGTGTACAGAAAACAAAATAGTGGTGCAGAAAGGGAGCGGACGGGTTCCTGAGAGCACTGAGCAGTACATGCTCTTCAGCTTAGACGCCACTTCTGGTGTCCAGTGAATGAGCTGTAAAAAAAAAAAAAGTAAAACTCACTCCCAGAGAGGATTACGGCATCAAGCGCAGCTTTTTTTTGGAAAAGCACTCCCAAAGCAAGTGATTTCTGTTCAAACAGCTTTTAAAAAAGCTGAGGGGTTAGGTGGTGCTGACAAGAAACTTCAGTTTCAAACAAAGGTTTCAGTTAATTGAAATCTTCTAGGAAACACTGGCTCTGACCCAGGGGGTGTACGCTCGGCTGTCCCCGCCGCAGGATCAGGGCCGTGTCCTCCAGGGATAACAGAAAAGCAATGTTCTCCTGGTGAGAAGAGTCTGGGTAGCTGGCTGGAGTTTATTTATACTGGGTGTTTTCTTCTCACACAGCTGATGGGCAAAATTACTTGTCTCCTCACGCAGTTAAGCACCAGGAAGTTGCTACTATATGTCACGACATCACATCTCTAGTCTGTACTTCTAGTATTAGAAGTGTCAAGTTCAGGCAAACAATGCAATAAAGGTTTAAGAATAATTTGACTTCATGTAAGATACCTTGGTAATTAATAGCAAATATTGACTCTATCATCATCTTCCTCATCTCTCATCACTGGAGCGCTCAGGGTTTTTACACATGTGAGCACGTACGCTGTGTAGATAAACCATGTTTCCTCTCCTTTTAAAGCATTAAAGGCTTATCAAGTGGTGCCCGCACTCAAATACTGTCACAACGTGCTCAGGGGTTAAAAACAACAACAACAAAAAAAACCATCAAAAATCTCCACTATGGGCAGAAACAATTTTTGTTGCAAAGTCGGTGCGATGCTTTTGGTTGCACATCGCTACTTGGAGCTTGGGCATTGCGCCTACCCCAGTGCGAGCTGCAGAGAATTCCGAGCACAAGGAGTGCCCCTTCGGAGGCCACAGCGCCAGCATCCATCACCACGACCCTTAGTGCTTCTGCACGAGGGGGAGATGAAGCTGCAGCGGGGAGGGGGGGGGAGGAGGGTCATGTATGTGAAAGGAAAACCAGCAGTTTTGACCCAGAGCAGCACTGGTTTAACGTTGAGCTGTCCGTTGTCATTTAAAAGAAAAAATGAACTCAGCTCTGGTAGAGAAGTGGAATCTCCTTCCTGCTCGTGTTCTCCAGAGCCTCTGGAATGGTGTTGGGTGATTTGTGCTGTCCGTGGCCCGCTCTGACCTGACAAACTGCCTCTCTCTGTCCCCTCTCCCAGGTATCCCCCTGGGATGGTGAGTGTCGCACCGGGAGGAATACCGGCAGCTATGGAGGGCATCATTCCCGGAGGCATCCCTGTTACTCACAATCTTCCCACAGTGGCGCATCCTTCCCAAGCTCCATCTCCTAACCAGCCCACAAAACACGGGGACAACAGGGAACATCCCAACGAGCAATAGCAGATAATTTAAAAAAAAAAATAATCACTCAATAAACTTGGGACCAAGAGACATTGGAAAAGAAGTTATACATGAACTAAAAAAAAGAATTTGATACGAAATTTGTAATGTTGATTTTGGACAGACGCATCATTGATGTTCCAGTGTTAACAACAAAGCGATACCAGTCAAGACTGGGGAGAAGCCCTGAAGAAGGCACCTGCTCACTGAAGCGCTGAAAACTAGGATGTGATACTTTAATGAGCAACTTCTGTTATTGTGTGTTGTTTCCTTCATCTGTGCATCAATCACATGAATAAAAATAGATATTTTTCTTTTCCCCCCCTCGATTCCTTGGGAAGGACAGGGCTTCTGCACCTGCTTTCAAACCATTGCAGTAAGCAATCCTTACAGAGTTAACATAGAAATGTAAGAGGAAACCATTATGTGGCTTCAGCCCTTTCCTTACTCTTGCATCTGGTTACCTCTTCTAACAGGAGGCATCAGTACTGGCTTAGAAGTGGAAGAAAAATTAATAATAATAATAATCCTTTTTGCAGTCTCACAGGGCCAGTGACACGTAACAGAAGTTCTCCTGCCAGGTTTTAAGTTCTAACCATCCCAGCCGGGATCCGTGGGATGGGGAAGGCAGAAAGGGCTCCTGGCAACGGCCGCTGACCTCCCCGGCTAACGAAAAAAAAACAAACTGCCAGTCTCTTCTCTGCCCAATACACTGAATAAAGTAGCTGTGCATTCACCTACGCCCTGCAATGATGCAAGAAAAAAAAAAAAAAGAAAAAAAAAGAAAAAAAAAAGAGAAGAAAATATTAAGTTTCACACACTATTTGTACTCAAATATATTTTCTCAGTTTTAAATCTGCAGCTATTTTATCAAGTGGAAAAAGTCTTGAGCTGGAAAGGGTTCAAGAATAATGTTGCATTTCCTTATGTCTCAGGAAACACTTTTTATGGTAACTTGTCAGACTGTCTATGAACAAAACCCACTTTTTTAGACATTGATAAAAGTCTTCTTTTCTTCACGTGATATTTTATACAAGAACACTTCAAAACGTGTTATTAGATGTGACTGATTTTAACAAATCCTATTAGATTTGTATCAACTAGTTACATGTTATATTCATAGTCTTTTGTGAATCATCGCCTTTTTGTTTTTAAAAAGATGGCCTATTTTGAGCCTTTGTATGGGTACATTCCTGTTTCTGTGACAAAAAAAAATCTTAAGCTGTCCCAAACAGAAAAAAAAAAAAACAAAACCAATGGCTATCAGAAGTATGTTTTGTTTTAGTGTGTTACCGTTACTGTATTTGTTTATTGTAAAGGTGGACATTTAGCGTTCAGTGCAGTTTTCAATAAAAAGTGATAAAATTTCTATAATTTCTGAAAGGTAAGAGCTCTCGCTGCAGTCTGACTGATGCTTTTAAGTTGAAGACACCGAGAACCTGCAGTAAGGTGGTACAGACACACAGCTCCCATCACACCGTGCCCTCCTCTGAAACCCAATGTGGTTTCGCAGCGGAGCTCAGGTGAGTCGAGTCTGACTTGGGCACCTCTGGCACTCCAGCAGCAGCGGGGACATGCCCGTGTCACGGGCAGCAGAAGGGTGACGCTTGAAGAGCGCCGTGACTGGCATCGGGCCAGGGTCTGTCCGTGGTGTCCTGCAGTAGCCTCCGAGAAACGCAGCAGAAACTGCGTGCAGGGCACGCTGGCTGATTTTTGGTTCCTGCCCAGACTTTCAGTGGTGCCATCCATACGCTGCAAACCTACTTATAATTTGTGAATATTTAAAATCAAGTGGGACGTTATGTGCAGCCAGGGTGGCAAAAGATGGCTGTGGTTTCTGTGAAGCTACCAAGGCAGCTACACCTCAAGCGACGTTTGTTGCACACACTGAAGAAACTTTGCGTTCAAAGCGCTAGGGAACAAAGCTGACAACTTTGTGGAGGTTTGCTGTGGAGGTGCTGGCAGCTTCCAGCCTCGCTAGGCAAAAGGCTCCTCCTTTTGTTTCCACCCTTTCACATGGCATCAGAGTGCCTGCACACATGGGGCAAAGAGCTTGCTCTGGAAAGGGACTAAAAAGGGCTGAAAGCAAAAAGCATCTCAGTTACAAAACTCTGTAATTTGTTTGCTTTAAATTAAACTGAATAGTAACTAGTTACCAGCTCCAAACACGTTTAAAAAAAAAAAAAAAAAGAGGTCACCTTTCATAGATGAACGACCGCTCTGTCAGTGATCAACACAGCACACCAGTGACTATCCATGGCCACCACAAGAAACCAGGAGGCTACAACAGGTTAGTTACAGAGAAAAGTGTTTGGTAAACACTGAAATGACGGTAAAAACCATGAGGAAAACGTTTAATTGACGTTAAGGTTTAGAGTTGGTTTAAAAATAAAGTAGCTCTGGTACTTCCACTTGTTTTTAAATAAGCAGTTGCACCCCAGATGGGTGCAAGTAGCTCCCTGTGAAGCAGGACCTCGTGCACCGGTGGTTCCTCGTGCACCTGCTGCCAGCAGTGGACTCCACACCAGAACAGCGAGAGGCTTCGCTCAGACCCTACGGAGAATGGCAAACGCTGTGGTTCTCATCCAACACCCAACCTCCCTCTCAGCCAAAACCAAGGATGGATGCAACCACAGGCGGACAGCTTCTACTGCAGTGCTACGAGCTCCACAAGAGGAGGAATTAAGAGATCCTGCGGGTTACAAACGAAAGGACACGTTTTAGGGAGACTGCAGTTTGAGAAGTTCTCCTCCGTGGGTGGGTTTCAAGCACCAGCGAAACAGGCAGCAGATCCACGGAAGAGCATCATCGCAATCAAGATACGCCAAAGCACCACACTGCAACTCTGGAAATGGAAAATTATTGGGCAAAGAAACAGGAGGTAAACAGTTGTGGCTGAAGATTCATGCCGTTACTTTGTGCTGTTGTCACACTCGAGGAAGGCGGGCAAGGAGTCCTTCCACTGATGACAGATGTCAGAGTAGCTTAAAAGCAGCAGCCTGAAGACAACAGACACTGAATAAAACCTAAAAAAAAAAGGGGTTAAGGGAAGTTACTGAACGAAAGGGGAAAAAGAAAAAGCAGCAGTTACACAAGGGTCTCTAAACGCACACAAACCCGTTTTGTTAATGGGGTAAACACCATCTAGTAATATTTGCCATAAGCCATGCAGCAGAACTTTGGAAGAATCCAGAATTACTAAATTTTAATATATTAAAAACAAAAGAAATACAGGGATTTTCACTGAGGAATTCATAAATAAAACCAGAAAAACCGACCAGATGTAAAGGAGGTAGCAATGAAAAGCCAAGTTCTGTGCCAGGAAAGCACGTGCTACTGCGAGCAATAATATGAGGAAAAGAACACCAAGAAACCCAATTTTATAGACCTGCTTGGGCCAAAGAGCAGAACTCGCTGACAAGCTGCAAGGTAGCGTTTGCAAATTCATCTCAGTATTTGTAAACTTGCAAGTATGGAACTGAAGGAGAGTACCCATGAACATACACTGACCACTGTGCTAGCACAAAGCAGGGGTTGCATCTCTTTAATCTACAGGTACATGAGGTTTGGATTACTTTGATTTTTGAAAAAAAAAAAAAAAGACACTTCACCAGTTCCGAAAGGACCTGTGAAGCGTTAACCTGAACATACCATTTTACAGCACATCAGAACAAAACAATAATGATCAAGGAAGCCAAGAGCTCTGAAGTACCAGGACTGTCCTCTCATACCAGAACTAGATAAATGCCGGAGAGCACGGAACATGCTTTTGGAAAACAGCTGAACTGACTGCACGGTGAGCTTCCACTTGCTTTGGGGAAGTGCTGGAGGGGACAGGGGTGGTCGGGCCACAGCGCGGGCTGCCCGCGCACAGCAGCGGGAGGTAAGGAACGGCGTGCTGTCGGATCTGGCTCAAGGTAGACTTTCACATTGGTTATTCTCCCCATGTTACACGGAAGCTTTGCTTCCTTAAACGGAACAGTACTGCGGAAAGCAAAGCAGGGGGATGGTAAAATTCCCTTGAAGTAGCCTACTGACGGTAGGAGCTTATCCTTTTGTCCATTCAAATGGTGGTCTGCGCACGGAAGCGAGTCCTGAGTAAGCTGGGATGGGAATTTACAGCGACCTGGCTACTGAACGAGAGCTTCTGACACTGGCGGACTTAGTCGGGAACGAGAAGGACCTCCAGAAGGGTTACACCACGACAGGTAAACGATGCCAGCAAGCACACGCCGCAGACCAGCTCAGATCATGGAAATTCTCATCCCAGCTTACTCCGCATCTGCTTCCCCTGACAGAAAAGCTTTAAGTCCTTGGCGAGATGGGGCAGAAAAGGATTTCACTGCAAGGGAAGAAAAGGGACAAAGAAAAAAACAAACAAAATTTAGAAAGCAAACTTAAAAGGGGACCATACGCTTGTGAAGAACCTCTTTAGCATCTGCAGTTTGCCTGTTTGGTTCAGGTAAATCACACGTACATTGCAGACAAGCATGCATTCCTTTTCCTGAAAATCTGCGCATGCATCCATCAGAGGAGATGTAATGGCCAAAAAAAGGTGAAGACGTTTCGTAATCAATGGAATCCGTGATGGGAAAATTGCTAAGTTAATACAGTACTTCATAATTTCTATACTTTTGGTGTCGTCACCAAGTTTATGTAGGAGTTGTGCACATTTCAACACCATCTAAGCAGCATTTGGAAGAAAAAGCAGCAAGTTCCTCAGGGTTTCCATAGCTCTCAACTACATAAAAATATGTGCTATGGGGCTTCTTTCCAAATTCTAATTAAAACAATTTCATCTACTGCAAAATTCCTTATTCAACCACCACACCATCAAAAGTGCTTTTCAAGACAACCTGAATTGCACTGTATATGTAAAAACTGGCATTAACCTTTAGTGTTTAAGTGAGATTTTTAGATAAACTTTATCCATTACAGGTTACATGGCTAAAGTTATCAAATATAATAAAATTTCTACTGGAGAATATACTCTGAACTTACAATCTTAGGAACTTACATGAGTTTAAGTATGGCCACATCAATCAACATGCAAGAAATTCC